CATGACTGACTCCCTCTCTTCCCCTTTCTTCCTATTTCTCTCCACTCTGGCCACACAAACTCCTTGCCAGTCCTTAAATTCTCCTTTGCACTGGCTGTTCCCTCTGCCCGGGATGCTCTTCCCCTAGTATTGCCATAGCTCCCTCCTTCCCTCCTCAAGTCTTTTCCCAAATGCTTCTTTGTGAGGCTTCCTGGCCACTCCATTCAAAATTGCTTCTATCCTACCCCATCCTCCTTGCCTGCTTCACTTTTCTCCACAGCAGGTGATGCTACCTGGCACTTAGTAATTTCATTTATTTTATTTTCTTTGTTGCTTGTATCCCCAACCAGAATATAATCTCTATAAAGGTAATGTTTTTTGTCTACTTTGTGAAATCACTTGTTCCCCTTGACCCAAATGTGAGTGATACGACACACTTCATTTCTGGGCCAAAAGTTTAAGGACTGGTCTCTGCTTCACCTGCTTTTTCTTATGATCACAGATTGGCAATGGCCCAGGTATTGGCTGTTCTGTCAATCTGAGTGAGGACAACTACAAGCAGAGCCCAAACTGACCTGTGATGAAAGAGAAAGAAACTTTTGCAAGTGTAAACTATGGAGGGCTATTTGTTACTGCAGCAAAACACAAGCTGTGTTCATCTTACTACGCTGTTGGACAGTGACTTCAATGGGGTATGTGGCGGTGGGGCTTGACAATATGGGTGAATGTTGTAACCACAATGGTTTTCATGTGAAACCTTCATAAGAGTGTATATCAATGACACCTTAATAATAATAAAAAAAACACAGGCTGTCTTAACAGGCTCATTGTCACCATCCCATTGAGTGTCTGTGAAGAATAATTGAGAACATCTGTGTAAGGGAATCCAGGGAATCCAGCACATAGTAAGAGCTCAAAAAGTGGTGGCTGTTATTGATATTATTTTTATTATTGCTAATATCATTAATTTTATTACTATTATTGCTCCTACTCCTACTGTTTTTGAATTATTGACAGCAGTCAATCTAATTTATCCCTTGCCTTCTGGATGTGCCCTCCCCTAGCTCCCCATAATCACTTTTTAAAAATTGAGTTATGACTGACATATAACATTAGTTTCAGGTGTATAACATGATTTGATATTTGCATGTATTGCAGAATGATCACCTAATTAGTCTAGTTAACATTCATCACCACACAGAGTTACACATTTTTTTCCTTGTGTAACTCATTGCTAAGGAGTAGATGAGAATCTACTCCTTAGCAACTTTCAAATATACAATATGGTATTATTAACTATAGTCACCATGCTGTACACTCCATCCCCAGGACTTATTTATTTTTTAACTGAGAGTTTGTACCTCTTGACTCCCTTCACCCATTTTGCCCATCCTTATCTCCCACTTCTGATAACCACCAATCTGTTCTGTTTCTGTGAGCTCAGTTTCTATTTTTGTTTTTAGATTCCACATGTAAATGAGATCATATGATATTTATCTTTCTCTGATTTGGTCCCTTCTTCTTCCCACCCTGCCTCCCTTCCTCCATGTGCTGTATGGGATGCAGATGTGAAGAATGGAGCTCAAGCAACCATCCTGGACCATAAAGAGGAAGTCACATATTGATGATGTAACAACAGAAGGAGCTTGGGCCCTGAGTTTGGAACCCCAGAGAGCTTGGGTAGCCACTTCTCTTACACAAGAGAGAATAATACTCTTCATTTATAGTAAAACTCAATATTAATTTGTGGTAGGCAGAATAATGGCAACCCCAAACCGTCCATGTCCTAATTCCCAGTCACTGTGAACATATTAGGTTAGATGGCAAGGGGAAGTTAGGGTTCCAGATGGAATAAAAGCTGCTAATCAGCTGACCTTAAAAGAAGGACATTATTCTGGGCTATCTGGATAAGTCTGGTGAAAGACGGAGCAGAAGAGTTCAGAGTCAGAGAGATATTTAAAAATGCTATGTTGCTTAAAACAAGGGGCCATTAGCCAAGGAATGCAAACAGCCTCCAGAACTAGAGAATGCAAGGATTGTCCCCGAATGGATCCTCTGAAGGAATGTAGCATCGCTGACACCTTGATTTTAGCCCAATGAGATCTGGCCTGTCAAATAATAAATGTGTTGTTTTAAACCCCTACGTTAGTAATTGTTTGTTATTGGAGCAATAGAAAACCAATGCATAAATTGATCCAGGCTCATCCCTTGAATCTTTCTCTGTCTTTAAGACTCCTGATTAATAATAATAATGAAAAAACAAAGCCAACATTAATAGTTAACGTACTTTCTGTGTGCCTGACACATTCTCAGCGTGCTGCACATATTATCTTATGTGAGCCACACAACACTCCTGCAAAGGAAGTGGGAAGCCTTAAATTTAAATGTGGGAAAAGGAAAAAAGGCTGAAAATTAGCAAGCTAAACATCTAGCTCAAATGTTAGGACAAGAATAGCACAACCAACTCAAAGAACGGAAGCAAGAACAAAACCCAAATACACAACAGAAACTAATCTGTTTATTACTATTGATAAGATCAAATTAAAGAAAAGGCAAATATACAATAGAGAGGATCTACAAAGCTTAACGTTGGTTATTGTCGGTAATTTGACAAGACTAGTACAACTGTTACAGTTCTATCTTAAAACTGATAAAGAGAATGTGCTAATGACCAATACAGGCAATAAAAAAAGGAAACGACCCTTACAAGCCTCAAAGCTAGAAGATAACACCTAGTTTTCGTATATGCTTTCCCCACTTCACACTTCAGGACAGTGAAGTTTATTTACAGAGACTGAGGAACTCACTCAAGTTCACACAACACGTAAATGGCACAGGCGGGATTCGAACCCCAGTTCCCATACTCCCTAACTAGCTTGATGACGTTCTATGCTGCGGCGCCACCTGGCGGGTACTCCCAGCCTCTCCATCCCGTCCCGCTACCGACGAAAGCCCGCCCCCAGTTCTGGCCGGTGGCACCACCTTCCCGCCAAAGCTGTTCCAGCCCTTAGAGGAGTTCAGACTCGCTTCCTCCGCAGGTTTCCTTCTGAAATATCATTAGAGTTTCTCTTTTAGTCTCTCTCAATCACTCCCCTGCGCCCCGCTGGCCTTGCTCACCTCTGTATTCCTGCCATGCCCCCCTGGTGGCAGGTTCCGTATTTGGAGCTGTATTTTCTCTATCCGTCTCAGCTGGGGGTGTCAGTCGTGTGGAGAGCGGCTTACTCAATGGTCGCCAGCAGCTGGCGTCATGTGGGAGCTCGTGAGACGTGTAGAACCTACCCCAGCCCTGCTGAATCTGGATCTGTACCTTAACAAGACCCAAGGGATTCTCTGCACAGTGCAGGTTGAGTAGCTTGGTCCTAGACCATAAGGGGTCCCTGGGACCCAAGGAGACTTGGAAACAAGGCCCCTCATCTGGGACAGGTGTATCTGAGAAAAGGTCTTAAGTCACATCCTGAATTAGATGGTGGCTGACCTTTTGTCTGTGTTGGAGAGGATTCAAGCTCCTTAGGGGCATTTGGGTTCCAGACCTCATCTCATGAGGCTCCCTCTGGAACCCCAAGAGATATCCCTTTTTCTACTGTTAATGGAATTTTTTTTTCAACCAGGGAGGTTATGTGAAATACACTTTATAGGAACTGAGCAAATAGAGGTATCAATACAGAAAATTCTAGATGTAATAAATAACCAGGGTCATATGAAGCCTTAGAAGACCAAACCTGAAGTGGTTTCAAACTCCAGTGTGCAGATCATCAGGAGGGCGCTGGGTTGCTCAGAGTTGGGCTGTACTCCTAGAGTCGCTGAATCATACAGGTGGGATGGGGCTGAGAATGTGTGTTTCTAACAAGCTCCCAGGGGATGCTGATAGCTGTTGGTCCAGAGGCACACTTTGAGAACCACTGTTTCCAAACCACATAGTTATGGCTGTTTTGAAGGGTCATATTAGCCCTTAAGAATGATATAGAAACAGTCTCATTCAGTGACATCATTATGGAAGTCTGAGTTCCAATGATCCAGTGTGAATTTACTGATCTGAATATTTTTTCCTGTATATATGCAACAGACTTAGCATCTTCATTTAAATTATGGACCACCTATAATGTTGTTTGGAGACAAATACTTTCTTTTTTCTTCTAGTGGCAGTTTTGCCTGTATACCAATCTCCTTTTTTATGGTCTGGTGAAAAATGTCGAATCAAGGTTGTGGGATCTGAAAGGATTTTTATCTTATTATATGAATCAAAATGTATCAGTGGATATTAGAAAAAGACCCTGCTCTTCTTCCTGCTGCATTCCCAGAGTCCTTTGCAATGCTCCTGTTACAAGTCTTTTAAGATTGTGTTTGGATTATTGATTTACAGTCTGACTTTTTCAAGGGCTCCTCAAGGGCAGGACATCTTCCATTTTTTGAAGAAAAAAATATGTGTAATAAGGAGACGTTTATTTTTCCACCATTTGTCCATTTGTGTTAACAAACAGTGAGGACATAGTTTCTGGATGAAGGTGCCTGTGGGTGCTCATGTGGGCGTGTCAGATATGTGCTTGGAGCTTTGTGCTTTCGAGATCTCGTGGGGTGTGGGGCAGGAGTGGTTGAGGGCTGTGGGCTTGTCGGTCATGGTGGGGGTGTGATTCTGTTTGGAGGGACATTGTCTGGGACTGTGTATCAAGCATGTGTCTACACTCAAGGCATGCAGTTCCCTGGAATTCACCAATGGGAATCAGTGACCAGCAGTGGCTGATTGTGTGAAAGGGTGTCCCCTAACCCCTGGCATGTGGTGCCCATGTCCTGGGTCTCATGTGTTCTCTCTGACACTGACTGTGTGCTGTGGCCCACTGGGCCCTGCATTCCTGTTCCTGGTCTGCCTCCCTATCAGGTCTCTTCCCTGTCCCATGTCACTATCCAGGTTTGAAGCTGATGGCCCTCCTGGGTGGGTGGGGCTCTAGGTGACATGTCCAACCATGTATACTTGCCGGTCTCCATTCCTGAGTCCAGGAGCCCTTGCAGAGCTGGGAGGGTGGGGACTCTGTGTACCTGAGGTCCAGGTGGCCTGCTGGGAAGTTAACAGCTGGAGATTAGATTTCGTGAGATCGCGTCAGGAAAGGAGGGAGAAGCATCCAGGTCTGGGCCCTGGGCCAGGCCAGGATCCAGGGTCTCAGAATCACTGTAAGTAGTCATAATAGTTCCTGTTTATTGAGCACTTACCATGTGTTGAGCACTGTACTTCATGCTTTATATATTAGCATTTATACTATTATATTCAGTCAATATTACATAGTATTTATATTATATTCATAAGTAACAATCATGTTCCTAATGTTTATGAATATTTTACTCTATTAGTTATCACTCTATATGGTAATTTTCTATTATCATTTTCTCTTTCTATTATCATATTCTATTATCCCATTGAAGGTAGGGGGAAACAATCTCAGAGAGATGAGTTCACTTGCTCAAGGTCACTCATCAAGGTGACAGAGTCAAAACCGAACCCACTTCCAAGTGTTCCCAGCCTTTGGCTCTTAACCACTGCATTGCCCTGGCCCAGGCAGAGACAGCATCTGGGGGGGGGGGGGCAGTAGGGAGTAGGGTTAGCTGAGCAGCCGTGGATAAGAGCCAGCTGGTGGTGGATTGTCTTGTGCTGCTTTACGCTTGCTGAGCCCTTATTGTGTGCCAGACTCTGTGCTAAGAGCCTTCATAATAATACTGATGACAAATTCTCATGGCACTTAGCAAGCACCCTAGGAGACGTGCTGTCACATGCACTGACGTGTTTACCCCTGACACCAGCATTCTGACGTGGATATAGCATCATTGCAAGGCCCTGAGGTGGAATTACTTGCAAAAGCTCATGGGGGAGCTGGGATTTGCAGCCTGGCTCCACAGGCTGTTCCTTTAGCCCCGTACTTACTATCATCCCTTGTAATCTTCACAACAGCCCTGCAGTGTAGGAAGAAATACCCATCTTACAGATGAGGGAACTGAGACCCAGCCTTGATCTCTCCCACAGAGGCACAGACTTCATCCATTGTCTGTCTGATCAGTTCTTCCACACTCTTGACCCTGATCTCATCTGCTAGAAGGCAGGGAACTCCAAGGAGCCTCTGAAGAGCCTTGGCCAGCCTCCTGCCCTTTGAGCAAAGTCTCCCTCTCCTTCCTGTGCTGCTCCTTAATTTTTCTTTTCGCTTGTGTCATTTCTGCTTGCTGATTGATCAGCGATTATCGCACGTTATAAGAATTGTCTGTTTCCCCCGGATTAGGTTTTTGTTTGTGGCTCTACAAAAGGTTTAAGTTTTATGCAGTTCAACAGGTCCTCTGTTTAAGTTCTAGATTCATTTCCAAACTTGATTAAGAAAATCACCTGGCTCCTAGGGAGTGAGAGTTGGGGGAGGGGGCGGGTGTTGGTGGTGGCAACCTCCTCTTCTCCCTTTCTCCCCCTCTTACGCTTGTCCTTTCTGTGGAGGGGGTGGGGTTGTTTGAAAGCATCTTGTCAATTTGTAAGCACTCTTTATATAGTCTAGCTATTAACTCTATGCTGTCCCAAGTGTTGCAATTTACCCCCAAGCCTTTTGTACACGGCTTTGCAAATGTTATGCAAATATGTCTGTCTCATATTTCACAGGTTAAGCTAGAAAGATCCCCTGCTCTTGGCAGGAGGGGACCTGGGGGAGCTCCCTCCTCCACTCCTGCCCAGATCAGGGCCTCTCTCTCAGTATCTCCAGCTTCTCCTTTCCCAAGGTCCTGCCTCCCTCCCTACTCCCTCCCCTCTCATTTGGAAGGGGGGTTGTTCCCTTCCTTGTCTATTTTTAAGCGTTCTTCCTACCTATGCCTGTTAACCCTATGCTGCCTCTGAATTGCACGAGACTCTTCCTCAAATCCTGTTAATTGGCTTTCTTTGTAATGTTGTTCGCTACATAAAATCTTAAGCATGTATGCCCTTGTGTTCACAGGCTGTGGGCTCCGACCTACGTTAGGAGGGTCTCCCAGCTCCGGGGCAGGGGCGCCCTCCCCCGCCCGCCCCAAGTCCTTATCTCACAGCTTCTGCCTTCCCACGGGTCAGGCACATAAAAGCGCGCGGGGACGCGGCTCTGCAGTGTCACCATGTCCTCGCTGCACCCACTGCTGCTGGCCCTGGCCCTGGCCCTGGTGGCCCTCCCCGGCGTCCGAGGCTCCTGCCCGGTGCCCGCCGACCTCAAGCGCGCGGACGGGACGCGCACGTGCGCCCAGCTCTACGACAAGAGCGACCCCTACTACGACAACTGCTGCGCGGGCGCCGAGCTGGCGGTGGAGCCCGGCACCGACCTGCCCTTCCTGCCCGCGGACTGGACGAACGTCATCTCCTCGCTCGTGGTGGCCCCGCGCTGCGAGCTCACCGTGTGGTCCGTCCGCGGCAAGAAAGGCAAGACGCACAAGTTCTCGGCCGGCGCCTACCCGCGCCTGGAAGAGTACCGCAGGGGCATCTTCGGCGACTGGTCCAACGCCATCGCCTCCCTGTACTGCAGGTGCGCGTCCCCACCCAGGGCGCGCACTCGCGTCCCAAGCGCCGAACCCAGCACTCAGGTTTCCGTGCTGGTCCAGAGCCCTGAGCCCCTGACCCAAACTGGGAGTCCCTAGAACCGGTCGGGGAGGTCCACTTCCTCCTCCCCTCCGACCACCCCTCCCCCTTGGATCCCTCAGACCCAGCTCTGGGATTCCCGGACTCAGAAGCTGACCCAACACCCCGCCTACCAGCTTCCATTCTGGGAGCGCACCCCTCCCCCCTTGAATTCCCCACCTGCCTGCCTACCCACAGGGGCACTTCCCAGGGAAGGTTGACCACTACTGGAGTTGTTAAGCCTAACTTGGGGTCCGGGAGCCAGCAACATCCCCACCTTGAAGCGCCCAGAACCAAAGCCAGTCCTCCTCCCCAACCCCCATCATCAGATCCTGAAGCTCCCAGACCCAGCTCGGATCCCTGGACTCCAAAACGGGTGCAGACTTCAAGACCCAGACCCATTCTGGGAACACCCTATCTGCCCTCATGTTCTCCGCCCATCTAGACCCTCTAGATCTGCCACAGCGCTGGAAACCAATCCCAGAGCCCCTGTTAAGGTCCTGGAGTCCCCTACACTCAGCTACTCACTTATCCAAGTTCACAGACCCTGGGACCACAAATCTGGCCATAGTGTCCTCCAAAACCACCTGAGCCTCTCCCCACGGGAGTTCTTAGAACTCCTGCCCCAGATTCTAGGCCAGGAGGCCCAGCTCCTGAACTTAGAGCCCAGCCCCAGTCCTCCACCCCTGGCAGGCTTCTAGAACCCCCATCCCCATCTCTGAGACCCTGACACCCCTGGTGGTTTTGGTTCTGTTACAGGTGCTACTGATACCTTAGAGGCCCCTTGTCTCCGGCCCCTGAGTCAGAGCTCCTCCTCTGGCCTTCCCTGGGGTCCACAGACGGCCTCGAGTCCCAGGAGGAGAGAGCTTTCTGCCTGCGCCCCCTCTCCCCCATCACCTTCCCTGCAATACAGCCCTTGTGAAATTGTCTTTGTCTGCCATCTGCTTATGCTTGGGACCCAAATCCACAGAGGACTGCGGCAGGATGGGGAGACCCCTGAGCCCCTGATCCACACTGGGAGTCCAATTTGGGTCAGGCCTGGGTCAGCCCACACCTGGGACAGAGCTGTGGACACACCCGTAGATTCTGACATGCATCTAAGTGTGCACAGAGACACCCATCCACAGGACATGTGTGTGACATGCGGTGGAATGTCACACATGTGTGTGGCTGATTCTAAGACACTGAAATGCTTCCCATACTTTTTGGTACCTAGTCCTTGCCTGGATGCCCCCAGCTGTTCTGGCCTGCCAGGGACTTCTAGACTCCCTCAGGATTCATGCCTGGGGCAACAGGAGGCCTTCAAGGGCCCTGCCCCAGGCTAGGGCCAGGGTCTCCTGTGTGATCTGGCCAGAGCCCAGAGAGCCCAGGATTTATGGTTGTTAAATCCTTCCAATTTCCCTCTCCCCGACACATGAAGAATGCTTCAGTTTGGATTTCCATCCTGTCCCCCCACTGTCCCCAGGGATGGTAGCCCTTCATGGATACCTAGGTTTGGGGGCTCTGAAGGAGCTAGAGAAGAGGAATGAAGGTCTGGGGGAAGGGTTGGTATGGAGATAGATCTAGGGGGATGACAACTTAGGGTTGGAAGAGGGAGAGCAATTTGGGGAGACTCTGCTAAGTGACATGCTGAGAGACCATGAGTTGGTTATGTGAAGAGGTCAGAGGCCAAGGGAGGTGCAAAGGGATACGGGTTGTGAGGTACTGGAGGATCAAGGATTAGAGGATGTGCAAGTGGGACTCAGTGAACTCAGTGACATGTTGAGGAGCAAAGACCAGGGAACTACTACTCAGCATATCATTGGGCACATACATTATTCATTCAGTCAACAAAGCTTTATTGCACACCTAGTATCTGTCAAGCACTAACTCAGGAGGAAGGGGCCCCTGCCTTCCCAGAGCTCAGAGAATGCAGGGGAAATGCCAAAAGTCAGACACTCAAGGATGTGTGAAGATTTCAAATGAGCAGCCCAGGACGGGGCAGGGTTAAGGGGCCTAGGTGGTAGTAAACCATCAAGGAGATGAGGGGTCATGAAGAAATTAAGGGGGCAGGGTAGTGCTGAGCATCTGTCTGGGAGGAGTAAAGAGAACATGGCAGAGATAATGGGTTAAGGAGGCTTTCAGTGTTAATTAGGTACTTCTAAGGGTCAGGGAGGTGAGAGAGATGCTAAGAGGTCAGAGGTGATAAGGGAACAAGGAGGTACTAAGGTGTTAGGGAGGTGCAAAAATGTCAGGGAGTTGCAAGAGGTCAGGGAGGCACTAAGGGTCAGTGAGGTGCTAAGGATCAGAGAAGTGCTAAGAGGTCATGGAAATGATAAGGGATTGGGGAAGTGCTAAGGGGTCAGAGAGGGGCTAAGGGATCAGGAAGATGTCATGGGGTTGGATAGATAAGACAAGGGGTCTGAATAGGCCCAGAGTCAGCCAGTCACTCTTTGAACTGCACAGACACAGAGGAGTCAGTCACCCTTGTCCTCCGCAGTCCTCCGGGCTCCATCCGGTTCTTAGTCTTGTGCAGGAAGTGGACAAAGCGCACACCCGGGCCATACCGGCGGAACACATGGGATACCTGTAGTAGCACCAGGGTTAGAACGGAGTCCTTATTAGAGACCCATGAACCCTGCTCCCCTCCACCTCCCTCCTCCTCTGTGAAGGCTTAGGATACATGTCTGGGGTGGCGGTCAGGACAAGGAGTCTCACCTGGACCCAGCAGCCTGGGGATCCCCTCCCAGAGGTCTGGGGGGCCACATGGTGCTGTGCAATGACTGAGCGGCGGTCAGCTGCCAGCAACCAGACATGTAGCTCATAGACACACGTGTCCAGCCGGCTGTCCTCATACCTGGGGGTGGGGTCCAGGCTTTTAGCTGCCACTGCAGCTCCAACATCCCAACCATTAAACTTCCACTCACGGCACCCAGTCTGTACACCCAGGCTGCGTGGTGCTGGCAACACAGCGGTGACCAAGACAACCCCACAGCCTGTCCCCACAGGACTCAGAGTCCAGTGGGGAAGGCAGGCCTGTCACCAGGCAGTGACAACTCGGAGTGGTCAGGGCTGAGAGGGGGCAGGTCGGGGGCACTGGAGCCTAATCCATCTGGCCCAGCTGGGGGCAGTCAGGGAAGGCTCCCATGTGGAGCCTTGTGTACCTGACTCCCAGAGGATATGGAGGAAGTCATCTGGAGAACAGTGAGGGACAAGCATCTAAAGAAGAAGGAATAGCCTCAGGCCTGGCACAAACTGGAAGTCTCAGAGAGAAGGAGCCAGAGAGGTAGGCAGTGCTGGCCCCGGCAGCAGCGAGAGGGTCTTGGAGAGGTGCTCGGGCCAAAAGGGAGGTCAGCGTCAGGCTGAGGCTTGCGCTTTGGGGAGCCCTGCGTGCGACCGGATGGGGCAGAGGCATGTACCAGTCCATGACTGTGATGTCTGGCTGCTCGTCGTCCAGCAGCTCCTCCCACAGGCCCTCAGCCAGGAGATCCACACACTGCTGCTTCACGGTCCAGCTGTGAGAGAGGGCACGGCGAGGCCGGGTCTGAGAACAGCTGGAATTCATGGGCACCTACCAGATCAGCCTGGCCCCAGGTGCAGGAGGCCGTGATCATGGAGCCCTCATGGTGACATCAAGGGCACCCCATATGGGCAGGGTGCCCACTCAGTGCCTTAGAGTCTCAGTTCACACCATCCCCTGAGGGCCATGCATTCTGAGCTCTGCATTGCAGATGAGGAAACAGAGGGTCCAGACAGCAAGCAACTCGCCTAATGTGGAGCACAGAGAAGTGGCAGAGCCAGGATGCCAACTGGGAAGTGTGGCTCTCTGAGCACCGTGCAGAAGCAGGGCTCAGAGTAATGGAGGATGGATGGTGGCCTGGGTGACTCTCCCCTTCCCAGGGAAAGAGGTTGAGAAGTGTAACAGTAATAGCTGTTATTTGTTGAACACCTGCTATGTACAGGCCAGACCTAGGCAGACCTGCTGCTGTTTGACGAGCATTCTCTTACGACCAGCCCTGTTTACAGAACAGGAATCTGAGGCCTGGAGACGCAAAGTCAGTTTCTCCAGGTCCCGCAGCGAGAAGGCTGGAGCAGGAAACCAAACACAGGCCACTCGGGTCCTGGTCACTGACCTGTGGCCCTGCTGGAGCTTCTCGGTTCTGATGAACCACCCGTGGAAATTGCCTGGCAGGTGGAGGAGCAAAGGGTTAGAACATGCCTGTTTCCAGACCACCCCAGCCCTCAGGCACAGCAACGAAGCGCTTACCTAGAGACTCCAGGGGCTGCTGGGTGGGACCAGTAGAGGGTGCTGGCTCATAAATGTTGATGCCTGAAATGCGGAGGTGAGTGGAGCCTCAGGCCTGCTGAAGCTGTCCCCCCTTCCGCATCCTCCCCACTCCCTACCCCCAGGGCTCCACTCCACTGCTGGGGCAAGAATCTGTGCCCGCCTGCCAGGCCAGACCTGCCTGGATGGGGTGAATGAGTCAGGGCCCTGGGAGAGCCCTGACCGTGTCCTTCGGGGAAAGGGCCAGTGTGCAGAGGTAGGGGGCAGGGCGTCGGGTGAGACAGAGACAGAGGGGACAGAGACACCAAGAGGAGGAGAGGAGGGAGGGAGGGGGAGACAGGGATGCAGAGTATGCCGGAGAGATGGACAGGGCGTACGAAATAGGAGACGCAGAGACGCAGGGTGGGACAGAGAGACGCAAGGAGTCAGGGAGGCACGATGACAGGAAAAGAGAAAGCGACGCAGAAGCAGAGACAGAAAGAACAAGGAAAGAAACGAGATGAAGAGACAGACGGTCCGGGAGGGGCACAGCGCGGCCCGACTGCCCAGATCAGGGCCTCTCTCTCAGTATCTCCAGCTTCTCCTTTCCCAAGGTCCTGCCTCCCTCCCTACTCCCTCCCCTCTCATTTGGAAGGGGGGTTGTTCCCTTCCTTGTCTATTTTTAAGCGTTCTTCCTACCTATGCCTGTTAACCCTATGCTGCCTCTGAATTGCACGAGACTCTTCCTCAAATCCTGTTAATTGGCTTTCTTTGTAATGTTGTTCGCTACATAAAATCTTAAGCATGTATGCCCTTGTGTTCACAGGCTGTGGGCTCCGACCTACGTTAGGAGGGTCTCCCAGCTCCGGGGCAGGGGCGCCCTCCCCCGCCCGCCCCAAGTCCTTATCTCACAGCTTCTGCCTTCCCACGGGTCAGGCACATAAAAGCGCGCGGGGACGCGGCTCTGCAGTGTCACCATGTCCTCGCTGCACCCACTGCTGCTGGCCCTGGCCCTGGCCCTGGTGGCCCTCCCCGGCGTCCGAGGCTCCTGCCCGGTGCCCGCCGACCTCAAGCGCGCGGACGGGACGCGCACGTGCGCCCAGCTCTACGACAAGAGCGACCCCTACTACGACAACTGCTGCGCGGGCGCCGAGCTGGCGGTGGAGCCCGGCACCGACCTGCCCTTCCTGCCCGCGGACTGGACGAACGTCATCTCCTCGCTCGTGGTGGCCCCGCGCTGCGAGCTCACCGTGTGGTCCGTCCGCGGCAAGAAAGGCAAGACGCACAAGTTCTCGGCCGGCGCCTACCCGCGCCTGGAAGAGTACCGCAGGGGCATCTTCGGCGACTGGTCCAACGCCATCGCCTCCCTGTACTGCAGGTGCGCGTCCCCACCCAGGGCGCGCACTCGCGTCCCAAGCGCCGAACCCAGCACTCAGGTTTCCGTGCTGGTCCAGAGCCCTGAGCCCCTGACCCAAACTGGGAGTCCCTAGAACCGGTCGGGGAGGTCCACTTCCTCCTCCCCTCCGACCACCCCTCCCCCTTGGATCCCTCAGACCCAGCTCTGGGATTCCCGGACTCAGAAGCTGACCCAACACCCCGCCTACCAGCTTCCATTCTGGGAGCGCACCCCTCCCCCCTTGAATTCCCCACCTGCCTGCCTACCCACAGGGGCACTTCCCAGGGAAGGTTGACCACTACTGGAGTTGTTAAGCCTAACTTGGGGTCCGGGAGCCAGCAACATCCCCACCTTGAAGCGCCCAGAACCAAAGCCAGTCCTCCTCCCCAACCCCCATCATCAGATCCTGAAGCTCCCAGACCCAGCTCGGATCCCTGGACTCCAAAACGGGTGCAGACTTCAAGACCCAGACCCATTCTGGGAACACCCTATCTGCCCTCATGTTCTCCGCCCATCTAGACCCTCTAGATCTGCCACAGCGCTGGAAACCAATCCCAGAGCCCCTGTTAAGGTCCTGGAGTCCCCTACACTCAGCTACTCACTTATCCAAGTTCACAGACCCTGGGACCACAAATCTGGCCATAGTGTCCTCCAAAACCACCTGAGCCTCTCCCCACGGGAGTTCTTAGAACTCCTGCCCCAGATTCTAGGCCAGGAGGCCCAGCTCCTGAACTTAGAGCCCAGCCCCAGTCCTCCACCCCTGGCAGGCTTCTAGAACCCCCATCCCCATCTCTGAGACCCTGACACCCCTGGTGGTTTTGGTTCTGTTACAGGTGCTACTGATACCTTAGAGGCCCCTTGTCTCCGGCCCCTGAGTCAGAGCTCCTCCTCTGGCCTTCCCTGGGGTCCACAGACGGCCTCGAGTCCCAGGAGGAGAGAGCTTTCTGCCTGCGCCCCCTCTCCCCCATCACCTTCCCTGCAATACAGCCCTTGTGAAATTGTCTTTGTCTGCCATCTGCTTATGCTTGGGACCCAAATCCACAGAGGACTGCGGCAGGATGGGGAGACCCCTGAGCCCCTGATCCACACTGGGAGTCCAATTTGGGTCAGGCCTGGGTCAGCCCACACCTGGGACAGAGCTGTGGACACACCCGTAGATTCTGACATGCATCTAAGTGTGCACAGAGACACCCATCCACAGGACATGTGTGTGACATGCGGTGGAATGTCACACATGTGTGTGGCTGATTCTAAGACACTGAAATGCTTCCCATACTTTTTGGTACCTAGTCCTTGCCTGGATGCCCCCAGCTGTTCTGGCCTGCCAGGGACTTCTAGACTCCCTCAGGATTCATGCCTGGGGCAACAGGAGGCCTTCAAGGGCCCTGCCCCAGGCTAGGGCCAGGGTCTCCTGTGTGATCTGGCCAGAGCCCAGAGAGCCCAGGATTTATGGTTGTTAAATCCTTCCAATTTCCCTCTCCCCGACACATGAAGAATGCTTCAGTTTGGATTTCCATCCTGTCCCCCCACTGTCCCCAGGGATGGTAGCCCTTCATGGATACCTAGGTTTGGGGGCTCTGAAGGAGCTAGAGAAGAGGAATGAAGGTCTGGGGGAAGGGTTGGTATGGAGATAGATCTAGGGGGATGACAACTTAGGGTTGGAAGAGGGAGAGCAATTTGGGGAGACTCTGCTAAGTGACATGCTGAGAGACCATGAGTTGGTTATGTGAAGAGGTCAGAGGCCAAGGGAGGTGCAAAGGGATACGGGTTGTGAGGTACTGGAGGATCAAGGATTAGAGGATGTGCAAGTGGGACTCAGTGAACTCAGTGACATGTTGAGGAGCAAAGACCAGGGAACTACTACTCAGCATATCATTGGGCACATACATTATTCATTCAGTCAACAAAGCTTTATTGCACACCTAGTATCTGTCAAGCACTAACTCAGGAGGAAGGGGCCCCTGCCTTCCCAGAGCTCAGAGAATGCAGGGGAAATGCCAAAAGTCAGACACTCAAGGATGTGTGAAGATTTCAAATGAGCAGCCCAGGACGGGGCAGGGTTAAGGGGCCTAGGTGGTAGTAAACCATCAAGGAGATGAGGGGTCATGAAGAAATTAAGGGGGCAGGGTAGTGCTGAGCATCTGTCTGGGAGGAGTAAAGAGAACATGGCAGAGATAATGGGTTAAGGAGGCTTTCAGTGTTAATTAGGTACTTCTAAGGGTCAGGGAGGTGAGAGAGATGCTAAGAGGTCAGAGGTGATAAGGGAACAAGGAGGTACTAAGGTGTTAGGGAGGTGCAAAAATGTCAGGGAGTTGCAAGAGGTCAGGGAGGCACTAAGGGTCAGTGAGGTGCTAAGGATCAGAGAAGTGCTAAGAGGTCATGGAAATGATAAGGGATTGGGGAAGTGCTAAGGGGTCAGAGAGGGGCTAAGGGATCAGGAAGATGTCATGGGGTTGGATAGATAAGACAAGGGGTCTGAATAGGCCCAGAGTCAGCCAGTCACTCTTTGAACTGCACAGACACAGAGGAGTCAGTCACCCTTGTCCTCCGCAGTCCTCCGGGCTCCATCCGGTTCTTAGTCTTGTGCAGGAAGTGGACAAAGCGCACACCCGGGCCATACCGGCGGAACACATGGGATACCTGTAGTAGCACCAGGGTTAGAACGGAGTCCTTATTAGAGACCCATGAACCCTGCTCCCCTCCACCTCCCTCCTCCTCTGTGAAGGCTTAGGATACATGTCTGGGGTGGCGGTCAGGACAAGGAGTCTCACCTGGACCCAGCAGCCTGGGGATCCCCTCCCAGAGGTCTGGGGGGCCACATGGTGCTGTGCAATGACTGAGCGGCGGTCAGCTGCCAGCAACCAGACATGTAGCTCATAGACACACGTGTCCAGCCGGCTGTCCTCATACCTGGGGGTGGGGTCCAGGCTTTTAGCTGCCACTGCAGCTCCAACATCCCAACCATTAAACTTCCACTCACGGCACCCAGTCTGTACACCCAGGCTGCGTGGTGCTGGCAACACAGCGGTGACCAAGACAACCCCACAGCCTGTCCCCACAGGACTCAGAGTCCAGTGGGGAAGGCAGGCCTGTCACCAGGCAGTGACAACTCGGAGTGGTCAGGGCTGAGAGGGGGCAGGTCGGGGGCACTGGAGCCTAATCCATCTGGCCCAGCTGGGGGCAGTCAGGGAAGGCTCCCATGTGGAGCCTTGTGTACCTGACTCCCAGAGGATATGGAGGAAGTCATCTGGAGAACAGTGAGGGACAAGCATCTAAAGAAGAAGGAATAGCCTCAGGCCTGGCACAAACTGGAAGTCTCAGAGAGAAGGAGCCAGAGAGGTAGGCAGTGCTGGCCCCGGCAGCAGCGAGAGGGTCTTGGAGAGGTGCTCGGGCCAAAAGGGAGGTCAGCGTCAGGCTGAGGCTTGCGCTTTGGGGAGCCCTGCGTGCGACCGGATGGGGCAGAGGCATGTACCAGTCCATGACTGTGATGTCTGGCTGCTCGTCGTCCAGCAGCTCCTCCCACAGGCCCTCAGCCAGGAGATCCACACACTGCTGCTTCACGGTCCAGCTGTGAGAGAGGGCACGGCGAGGCCGGGTCTGAGAACAGCTGGAATTCATGGGCACCTACCAGATCAGCCTGGCCCCAGGTGCAGGAGGCCGTGATCATGGAGCCCTCATGGTGACATCAAGGGCACCCCATATGGGCAGGGTGCCCACTCAGTGCCTTAGA